TCTCGTCCTTCTTGGGTTCAGAATTAAAAAGTCATCTGTCTAATTTCACTCTTCCTGTAGCATAATTGAACATCGTAATCATGCCCTTTTAAGTGTGGACTCCATGCCACTGTACCGCAATCTAGATTGGCGGCCTGTTTGTTAAGATTGTGCAGGGGGCGACCCAAAGAACATTCATTGTAAGGACAAGCATACACAGAAATAAATGCATATCTATCAGTCTAGACATGCATATCTACCGTATATATATCTGGTAGATAGGTAATTATACATTTATTAAATCGGCCGCAGGTCTTATGGCTGTTATTATCACATCGTCCACATACACGAATATCCTCATGTTGGCAATCAGCCCAAGCGTTTTATGGGCCTTTTCATTTATATGATCATTTGGGCTTAGGTTCATGTTTATGATTGTTCCAAGGTCTTTTTCCCTATCTGCTGTGTTTACTACTGCTTCTGTTTGTGTGTGCGTGCGTGAAGGGCCGCACGCGGCGTCCCGGCTCGTCGGGCGGAGGCCTCCGACCCACGGCGGGTGCGCGGGCCGTGTTGCCAGGATCAGCATATTCGGACACAATTCCATAAACTGTGGTTAGGAAATCGTGTAGCGTGATTCACTGCTTTAGATGTTCCCTTAGAAGAAGAAGAATTAACGGATGGCACATTTTTTCAAAGTTGTTAATGCGAGAAGCAGTAAGATAAGAGATGTTTAATGGCAGCGGGAAACGTAGTGCTGCAGTAACGTTCTCGGCGAGCGTGGAGAAGGAGGAGGGGGTGGGGGGGGGTATATAGGAGAGTAGGTTGTGCGTGAGTCGGTGGCGGGGGAGGGGTTATAGGTGAGAGGAGGTCGGTGCTGTCCTAAGAAGTCACTGATATTCCATGTCATATTTTGGCGACATTCAAGTGAGGTGCAGCTGGATTTTTTCCTATTCGTGGGAAAATTAGATACGCTTAATTAAAAATTCCCTCTCGATGCCACCTGTTCGAAACAAATGGGCAGGTAAACCGAGGACCAGCTGCGCTGCGGACGCTGGATTCCTAGGCTGGGCAGCAGGCGAGGAAGGCGGGAAGGACATGCGGCGAGAGAGGACCAACTCGGAAAGGCAGGCCGCGAATGCTTCCTTCTTATTTTACACACACACACAGGAAGAGAAGGGGAGTGGAGAGAAAAGAGAGAACAGCCTCACGCTGTGTCGAAGGCACTTCGTTCGAGTGACCAAGATGATGTGTGATTGGACGAAAGACCTTTCCTTTCACTTCGATCTCAGAACGAACCTCCGGTCGTGTCACCTGCCCACCGGTGACAACCGCTGCGCTCATTCTTCCGCGAACAGCGGGTGAAGTCGTCACTGCAGTCCCAGATCCAGCGGTGTGGGTGGAATCGGGACCGGGCTGACAGAGGCGTTCCCCTCACAGCCCTTCCTCTCCCCTCGGAGCACGACATCTTCAGGGAGAGGCACGTGTCTTCCTCCAACCTTGCATTCGGGAGATGCAGTGCATTGAGCAAGGGAGTGCTGGCCTTACTTGTACTACCTCGCTCGGGGGAGGAGGGAGAGGGTAAGGGTCACAATCGTCGAGGCCGAGATGTAGCCTCCCCAAAGTAAGGGTACTCAGCCCAGCCCCCAGACCCTGTCTTGGTCTAAGGGCATCTTTTGTTTGGTTAGGGAGAAATTGCCTTTTCTTGGGGTGATGTGTGCTGGCTAGTCTTCCTTCAGTTCTCAGAGGGTTGGTTGGAACATTGCGCAATATATCGTGCTGTGTAGAAACAGTGCTTGGATAGGCAGCGCTTTATTGTCATTTTTAGCTTCGGATAAAGAAACGTTGATACCTACATGGCTAAAGATCCTAGCCATCGACACGTATAGATCACGCCTATATATTTTATATTGTGTACGATATCACAGTGCGTCGGGGTAGGGAGGGCTGGTCCAGGCTCGGCAGGTTACTACCAAGAAGTAACCAAGTCAAAGTACTCATTACTGCTTTCCATGTCTTGGGAACGGAAGGAAGAGCAGTACAAGAAAAAGTCGGACATAGATCTCCGTAAATATAAAATTGATTAAGACGTGAAAGAGGGGGGGGGGGTGCCATGCCACCGCTGGAAGAAACGCTGAGGGAAATTTTCAAGGTGGCGATAGTCACGCCATCTACTTGCACATGTAAACTTTTTAAGATGATGTTTACACATGGTAATGTAGAGCTGAAAATCGACCGAAATTCAAGGTTTGTATGATGAATAGGTAAATGAGATATGCATTAGTGGTAACATTCGTCATATGTTGTGCGTGTCCACATTTAGGAAAGCGAATGTTAGGTGTATTATTGCTTTTATTTTTAATGTGAGGTTTTATTTTCATTTCATAGGAAACCCGAAGCGCGAGATTACGAAAGGACGGGAAATTAGTGACTTTTGTAGCATGGGAGAGCTTGCAACATTTTACATTTAATCAGTGACCCAGCCAAGGCCAAGGGGCGCGCAGGAAGATGGTGAGCCGTGGTG